TAAGGAATTCTTGCCCTTGTTGACTCACCATTTTTAAGCTTCAATAATGGGAATCGGTAATGGTTCACCCCAGCAGTCCAGAGTGCTTGTTATTAAAGACTTATGTATTTGGGATTAGTGTTTCCCACTGAGAAATCATAGTTCCTGTTGCCAAACAACTCACATAGCCACGCACTATTATTAGCAAATCCAAAGGATTAACATAACTCCACCCCAGGGTTAATAAATCATAAGGTTAATGTTGCTACAGGCAGGGTATAGCAGAATATAGGGTAACATGATAAACAAAAACAGAGGGTTCACATGCCCAACACACTACAGTTAGTAAATCCAGCTGTGTGTTAGCATTGCCATATATCACAATAGGCACAGCTTTTAATTTCATTAATTATCAAGATATGAGCTTCCTCATAACAGAGCACTGTAATACTATTTTTCAAGTTACTGTAGAGTGCTTACTGTAAGTGAGAGACTTTATTGAAAGAGTTTGATAGAGCTGGGAAGATAGGCTACCTGGGCTGTTCTGGTTCTGCCACTGGCTTGTTGAGTGATGTTGGGCAAGTTATGTAACCTCCGTGTCTCCGTTTCTCACTTCTGTAAAATGAAGAGCTATACATCACACAGGTGCTATGAGGCTTTATTGCGGTAAATGCTTTGCCACTGTGCAGATGACCCAACCAGGCATATCATTAAAGTTTGAACCCAGGACCTCTAAATGTAAAAGGCTGATTCTCTACTGCCTGAGCTAAGGGAGCAAGTATTCGCTTGTAGCTGTAGTAGCAAAGTCTTTGACATGGTCCAACCCCTGGAGGAAGACAGACGCAGTTTTCCCTCGTGTAACATAAGAACGCACTAAATTGCATTATTCTGTGATTGAGCAAAAGTGAAACAAATGATTATGTGATGTACACATTTAAGGAATGAAAAATATATTTTTGTCTAGTGGAGAGGGAGTGATGCTCTTTGTCTAAAACTAGACCTCAACTGGGGGAAAAAATCTGTAAATAAAACCCCCACCTCTTGATTGTTTTATTGTACTGAAAGAGTCACAGGGGTCAAATTGAAGTTTTTCACTACAACCAACATTGCCAATGGTTTGTTGTTTTGATTGTACGCCAGGCGAATAATTACAAAAAACCCAAGGCACTGGCATGAATTTCACAATCCAAAATGTATTCAAAAGTTTGCATTGACCATGACAAATGTCATCAGGGTTATAGTTTCACACAGATCTAGGTTTTAGTGTCACGCCTATCCTCTCCCTGCACATGAGTTTATTAACTGGCCTACACAGCATAGACTCACGTGAGAGTCTTGAGCATTTGTGATCCCTTAAATGCCACTCAAACTTTATTCCCTGTGAAGTAAACACAGCTAATTGAAACATGTAGCAGAAGATATGGTTCTAAGAGTCAACTGAATGTTTATTTAGTCAAAAAGAGGGGGCAGGGGAGAGAAATTAGTCAGGCACCTTTTTACCATAAGGAAATCAGTTTAGTGAAGAAAAACCTCTTCACATAATTTAGTTGTTAGGATTTCTTCTGTAGGTTTAAAAAGAACACTAAAGCCCCTACTTATGGTAATCTTTCTCTCTTTTATTTTGTTTTATTTGCTTATCTATGGAGCCCATGTAATCAAAGTTCTTTGCTGGTGCTAGGGATTTGTAGTGCATCTTTTGAAGCTGCTGGTTGTAGAAAGTCATGTATTCATTTTTAAATAGTTTTACTCTCTGATATGAATGAAGCATAAAACAGGCAAACGTCAGTGGAAGCTTAGCTGGTCGCTTTCAGTCTTCTCCTTCCTCTTCTTCGTTTTCTTATTGTTAGATGTGGGAGCAAGAGCGGGACCTTGTGTTCATGGGTTCTTGGTAATAGTGACCATAATATAATTAAATTTAATATCCCTGTGACAGGAAAAACACCACAGTGGCCCAACACTGTAGCATTTAATTTCAGAAAGGGGAACTACACAAAACTGAGGAGGTTAGTTAAACAGAAATTAAAAGTACAGCGCCAAAAGTGAAATCTCTGCAAGCTGCGTAGAAGCTTTTTAAAGACGCCACAAGAGAGGCTCAACTTAAATGTATACCCCCAAATGAAAAAACATAGTAAGAGAACCAAAAGAGAGCCACCGAGGCTAAACAACAAAGTAAAAGAAGCAATGAGAGGCAAAAATGCATCCTTTAAAAAGTGGAAGTTAAATCCTAGTGAGGAAAATAGAAAGGAGCATAAACACTGGCAAATGAAGTGTAAAAATACAATTAGGAAGGCCAAAAAAGAATTTGAGGAACAGTTGGCCAAAGACTCAAAAAGTAATAGCTAATTTTTTTTAAGAACATCAGAAGCAGGAAGCCTGCTAAACAACCAGTGGGGCTACTGGATGATCGAGGTGCTAGAGGAGAACCCAAGGACGATAAGGCCATTGCAGAGAAACTAAATGAATTCTTTGCATCGGTCTTCACGGCTGAGGATGTGAGGGAGATTCCCAAACCTGAGCCGTTCTTTTTAGGTGACAGATCTGAGGAACTGTCCCAGATTGAGGTGTCATTAGAGGAGGTTTGGGAACAAATTGATAAATTAAACAGCAATAAGTCACCAGGACCAGATGGTATTCACCCAAGAGTTCTGAAGGAACTCAAACGTGAAATTGCAGAACTATTAACTGTAATCTGTAACCTACCATTTAAATCAGCTTCTCTACCAGATGACTGGAGGATAGTTAACGTGACGCCAATTTTTACAAAGGGCTCCAGAGGTGATCCCGACAATTACAGGCCTGTAAGCCTGACTTCAGTACCGGGCAAACTGGTTGAAACTATAATAAAGAACAATATTGTCAGACATATAAATGAATATAATTTGTTGAGGAAGAGTCAACATGGTTTTAGTAAAGGGAAATCATGCCTCACCAATCTACTAGAATTCTTTGAGAGGGTCAACAAGTATGTGGACCAAGGGGATCCAGTGGATATAGTGTACTTAGATTTTCAGAAAGCTTTTGATAAGGTCCCTCACCAAAGGCTCTTATGCAAAGTAAGCTGCCACGGGATAAGAGGGAAGGTGCTCTCATGGATTGGTAACTGGTTAAAAGATATGAAACAAAGGGTAGGTATAAATGGTCATTTTTCGGAATGGAGAGAGGTAAATAGTGGTGTCCCCCAGGGGTCTGTTCTGGGACCAGTCCTATTCAACATTTTCATAAATGATCTGGAAAAAGGGGTAAACAGTGATGTGGCAAAATTTGCAGATGATACAAAATTACAAAAGATAGTTAAGACCCAGGCAGATTGCGAAGAGCTACAAAAGGATCTCTCAAAACTGGGTGACTGGGCAACAAAATGGCAGATGAAATTTAATGTTGATAACTGCGAAGTAATGCACATTGGAAAACATAATCCCAACTATACATATAAAATGATGGGGTCTAAATTAGCTGTTACCACTCAAGAAAGAGATCCTGGAGTCATTGTGGATAGTTCTCTGAAAACATCCATTCAATGTGCAGCGGCAGTCAAAAAAGCAAACAGAACGCTGGGAATAATTAAGAAAGGGATAAATAATAGGACAGAAAATATCATGTTGCCTCTATATAAATCCATAGTACGCCCACATCTTGAATACTGTGTGCAGATGTGGTCGCCCCATCTCAAAAAAGATATATTGGAATTGGAAAAGGTTCAGAAAAGGGCAACAAAAATTATTAGGGTTATGGAACGGCTTCCGTATGAGGAAAGATTAATACGACTAGCACTTTTCAGCTTGGAAAAGAGACGGCTAAGGGGAGATATGATTGAGGTCTATAAAATCATGACTGGTGTAGAGAAAGTAGTTAAGGAAGTGTTGTTTATTACTTCTCATAACACAAGAACTAGGGGTCATCAAATGAAATTAATAGGCAGCAGGTTTAAAACAAATAAAAGGAAGTAATTCTTCACACAACGCACAGTCAACCTGCCAGAGGATGTTGTGAAGGCCAAGACCATAACAGGGTTCAAAAAAGAACTAGATAAATTCATGGAGTATAGGTCCATCAATGGCTATTAGCCAGGATGGGCAGGAATGGTGTCCCTAGCCTCTGTTTGCCAGAAGCTGGGAATGAGTGACAGAGGATGGATCACTTGATGATTACCTGTTCTGTTCATTCCTTCTGGGACACCTGGCATTGGCCACTGTCGGTAGACAGGATACTGGGCTAGATGGACCTTTGGTCTGACCCAGTAGGGCTGTTCTTATGTTCTTATAGGTTTGTCACTGAGTGTTCAGAGCTGGCGCTAGTTCGCTTTATGCCAGTGGCTTTGTCATCTCCCTTGGACTCAGGAAAGATACAGACACTACGGTAGCATAGACATAGCTGGAGATAGTGATTTTTAAAATGGCTTCTATCTCTCACAGGTCACATTCTTTAATGTCTGTCTTGTCCTGAGCCCATTTCAGGTAGGTACCTCAGTCCAGTACAGGTTCCTTTCCTCACTATTCTACCTGGGTGCACAAAGAAACTCCTCCTCTGCCTATCGGACAGTAATGTGGACTTCATGTTATGTCCCACTTTTCAGTGGGGACAATCAAAGGGAAATTCCAGACTGGATTTAGGTGCCCACCTAACATGGATTCTGGCAACCCCCTGTCCCCATATTGAATTGCACAAACCATTGCCCATTTTGATGCCTTCTGTTCTTCCTTGCACGACTGACATCAGTTCCAGAGGCCTTATTAGATTGCCCTTGTAACTACATTGTTGGTGTGAGTAAGATCAGTCTCTCCTTTGCTAGTGTTTACTGTGGGGATGTGTTGTATGTGGTTTCAAAGGCTTAGGTCTCTGCATTTATCACACTCCATTCAGCTATTTTAAAGCTGAATCTTTCACTTTCTTGCCCTTTGCAATGAGTCCTGTATGTCAGTCCAAGAAGGAAAGGTAAAAAGGATATTTTTTTTCTCTCTTTTGCTTTGTTGTTAATGAAAAAAACTGACCATGATTTCTCCCCTCTTCAAAACACCTTAAAGGAAACTAGCGAAGAAGCAGAAGGAGACTCAAAGCAGCACTCAGAGAGAGATGGGTCCTGTTGCTACTTCAGACAAGAACACCACCAAACTCAGTGCAGTTCACAATGAAGAAGCTTTTTCTTCCAGCTGTCAAGATGTTAATGGATTCAGTAAGTTTAACTTGCTTGCAATGGATACCTCCCCTTTTGAGAGCTGTAGATACTTAAAAGGATCTATTTCCATGGGCACAAGATGTAAGTATTAGAAATTAAAAGGGTACAGTTAATGGCTGGAGTACTGCTAGAAAGAGGTCTGACACTCCAATCTGAGATTTCTCTGTGGACTGCCCCAAGTTAAATGTCAGACAGGTGGAGAGGACTCCCTCCGACTCTAAATCTACTTGGAAGAATTTAGAAGAGATGTTTAAATAATTATACCGCATGATAGATAAGGGGAATGGCTGTTTGGTCTAATGGAATAATGCTTGCTCATGTTGGGCTACTGAGATCAAATCCCCAAGTAGATCTTAGAGTGAAACAGTTTTTGCTGCACTAAATTGTTATGTGAGAAAAGGCTGATCTTGAAGTTAAGGAAGAGAGTGGGGACTAAGGAGGTCTGGGTTTTGCTCTCTTTTCCTCATTCCATTCCTCATAAGGGTGCAGTAAACTTTAGTTAGTTGATGTTAGTAAACCACGCCAAGCCATTTAGATGGAAAGCTCTATATAGATGCAAAGCATGATAAGCAAACACTTTTCAGAAGCAATAGTTGCAGGTGAAACCATAGCACATCCGAAAACTCTTGTTCTTAAATCAGTTTTCAAGCTGTGTGTTAGGAATGTCATTTAAAATCTTTGACCTTTGGCCTATTGGTTTCAGTACCAACCAGCCACTGAAACTATCTGATAATTCTTCAGTAACCTTAGTGGAATGTTTTAGTGGTCTCCCTCTAGTTCTTACAGAACAAGTGTCCATATTACCAACAACAACAAAAAGTCTACACTCTTTTTTGCAGCCTCAGACTGAACAGACTAGAGAGACGATTCCTCTTTCACCCACAACTGTGGTTTCTCCAAGGCAGATCATATTTGCCTGCACTGCCACTGTCTGCAATATACCTGCAATAAATAGAGACTTCAGTCTCCAAAGCTGGCAGTGCAGTGATTCTCCAGTACTAATATTCACTTGAATATATGACCTGATTTTTCAAAGAAGATGACTACCTCTATCTTACACTGAAGTCAAAGGGTCCTGATGGTGCTGAGCAGCTTTGTAAATCAGGCAAGGAGGTGATAGTCATCTTAGTAAGATGGATAGGAGGGTTGTCAATTAATCGCAGTTAACTCATTCAATTAACTCAAAAAATGAATCGCAATTAGAAAAATTAATTGTGATTAATTGCAGTTTTAATCACACTGTTAAACAATAGAATACCAATTGAAATTTATTAAATATTTTGGATGTGTTTCTCCATTCTCGTGTATATTGTATTCTGTGTTGTAATTGAAATCAAAGTGTATATTTTAATTACAAATATTTGCACTGTAAAAATTATAAACAAAAGAAACAGTATTTTTCACTCACACTCAGCACCATAGTGCAGTCTCTTTGTTGTGAAAGTGCAATTTACAAATGTAGATTTATTTATTTTTTGTTACATAACTGCACTCAAAAACAAAACAATGTAAAACTTCAGAGTCTACAAATCCACCCAGTCCTACTTCTTGTTCGGCCAATCGCTAAAACAAACAAGTTTGTTTACATTTACAGGAGATAATGCTACCCTCTTCTTATTTACAATGTCACCAGAAAGTGAGAACGGGCGTTTGCATTTTTGTAGCTGGCATTGAAAGGTATTCACGTGCCAGATATGCTAAACGTTCGTATGCCCCTTTATGCTTTGGCCACCATTCCAGGGGACATGCTTCCATGCTGATGAAAAAAATAATGTGTTAATTAAATTTGTTCCTGAACTCCTTGGGGGAGAATATTATGTCCCCTGCTCTGTTTTACCCACATTCAGCATATATTTCATGTTATAGCAGTCTCGGATGATGACCCAGCACATGTTGTTCATTTTAAGAACACTTTCACTGTAGATTTGACAAAATGTAAAGAAGGTACCAATGTGAGATTTCTAAAGATAGCTACAGCACTCAACCTAAGGTTTAAGAATCTGAAGTGCCTTCCAAAATCTGAGCAGGACAAGGTATGGAGCATGCTTTCAGAAGTCTTAAAAGAGCAACACTCCGATGCGGGAACTATAGAACCCGAACCACCAAAAAAGAAAATCAACCTTGTGCTGATGGCATCTGACTCAGATAAGAAAAATGAACATGCGTCGGTCCGCATTTGCTTTGGATTGTTATCGAGCAGAACCCGTCAGCATGGACGCATGTCCCCTGGAATGGTGGTTGAAGCATGAAAGGAATATGAATCTTTAGCACAGCTGGCACATAAATATCTTGCCACCCCAGCTACAACAGTGCCATGAGAACACCTGTTCTCACATTCAGGTGACATTGTAAACAAGAAGCGGGCAGCATTATCTCCTGAAAATGTAAACAAACTTGTTTGTCTGAGCGATTGGCTGAACAAGAAGTAGGACTGACTGGACTTGCAGGCTCTAAATTTTACATTCTTTTGTTTTTGAATGCAGTTTTTTTGGTACATAATTCTACATTTGTAAGTTAAACTTTCATGATAGAGATGGCACTACAGGACTTGTATTAGGTGAATTGAAAAATACTATTTCTTGTGTTTTTTTACAGTGCAAATACATGTAATAAAATAACTGTAAACTATAAAGTACACTTTGTATTCTGTATTGTAATTGAAATCAATATATTTGAAAATGTAGAAAACATCGAAAAATATTTAAACAAATAGCATTCTATTATTGTTTAACAGTGCGCTTAATCGTGATCAATATTTTTAATCGCGCAATTAATCACGATTAATTTTTTTAATCACTTGACAGCCCTAATGGATAGTATAAAAATATTGGAAATTTACCAGTTTTTAATGCTTTCCCCTCAGTTGTGAACCTTAAAACCTATTTCTGGCCAGCAAATGAAATATGGTAAGAACTGAGTCTGTAATATGGTCTCATCACTTTTGGGTATTTTGAAAAAAACAATTAAAGCTGCGGAATCATTCATCTGTAAAAATGGCTATAGAGAATGCACTGTGACTAATTTTGCACAGAGCATTCCTAAAGATTTTTATGACTTATAATCACTGAGTCCTCCACTTGTCTGACATCATTGTAAGTTTAGCCAATATCTATTCTTTGGCACAGTTCCATGTAAATATTGAGCTGGATTTTTTCAGGACCATCAGAAATAATTATCAGTAAGGGTTCATAATCTCTCAACACTCTTCTTTGCCAAGTTCAGGATGCTGCGGCATCCTGGCTGGTTGATACAGAGGTAAATTGTGTCCTGTGTAGTTCAGTACCCATGCTAAAGTAGGTAATTTATGGTTCTGGCTCGGATAACATGGATGAGAAAAAAAATCCTCCTTTCAAAAATTGGCTTAGTAGAAGTTAATACTTAAAGACACCTATAGAGGCCTGTACTAAATCATGCTAATTTTGAAGCAGCACAAATAGGATTACGTTGCCACCCTTCCAATAACTAACATGTTTCAAAACATTGTCTGTCTGAGGTTTGAGAGCTGCAGTCTTTTGTACCCCCTCTCTCATGCCCCCTGAAGACATTTGTTTTCTTTTTTCCTCTTTTGCCTAACACAAAAAGGAGTGGCTACTAATGCTTTATGGTAGGTAGCCACCTAGCTTGTTTAGATAAGCCCTGCCCAACAGTGTATGTTCAAAATGGAAGGTAGAGGATTTGCCAAGGAGGACACAAAAGCTTCCACCCTATAGACTGTGGAGCCAGGCCGGCCCGGGCCCAACCATTTTTTGGCCTGCCACAGCCCAGGTGGAGGCAGGTGATCTGGCAGCAACAGGAAGGAGTGGGACAGGGCAAAGCATTGTTGGGGGATGGCCTCACCTGCACACGGAGGCAACAGCTGACAGGCCAGAGTGAGAAGACAGGCCAGCTCCACAGGACAGGAGCTGCTGCAGGGTAGGTGCAGGACGGGCTTCCTCTCCAACCCCCTTGAGGCAACACCTGACCCCTTCCTGGGGATGGGGCCTCCCAAGCCATGGGGACAGCACCCAACCAACCCCGGGGGCAAGAGCTGGCACCCCGTGTGTCACACCCCTGGGGCAGGACCCAACCTCCCCCATGTGGCCCTCCCACTTTAAATGGCGTGCCTCAGCCCGCTTCACTCACCAATATGTTCCTTCACCTACTGCCCCTGGGAGGAAGAACATTTCTATGCACAGTTCCAGTAATTGAGCATGTAAATGGGTAGTTAGGTTTGCAATTCTCCCATCTGTGCCTGCAAACGTGGGGTTTTGCACATTTGGAAAATGGTGGAGACAGCTGGGCAAGTGCTTCTGCTCTTTTCTCCTCCTACCTTTAGCCCCAACTGTCCGCCTGAACTTTGCTTTTGTCAGTTTAAACCTGGCCCTTAATATTCTTTTGATGATCACAGAGAAAAAAGTCTTGTTAGATTAAATCCATCCCTATGCAACAGCAGGATAGTAACCCACTGGATGTGTCAGATATTAAACTGATACAACACTGTTAGCCAACTGCACCTCCACCCCAGCATCTGTGCTGCCACACTTTTTTGCCATTACATAGAAATCACAGTGGATTGTCACAACATATCCTAATGCATTTTCCTTAGCAGCCCTGGCATTTCACAGCAGCAAAGCATTTACTTGCTTTTTGAATGCAAGTTTGTATTCGAGGTGGTGCCACCTGATTCAGCTGAACATAGCCGTACTCCTCAGCAAAAGGTACATTTGGCGTAACTCATCTTCCATCATTCTGTAGAAATGCATATCTCCCAACACCAAGTCTCAGTGCTCTAGATACAAGTGTTTTTAAAGCTCCCAGATGATACTTATGAAAGTGGTTTCTCCCTTTAAAGTATCAGTTTCATACATGAGCGAGAAAGTGCATTTCCTTAAGTATATATCTTCTTGGGGTGAAACTTAGCCCCGTGCAGAGGGCCAACACAAGCCCTATGCACTGGTTGGTAGCACATGGTCCCAGAGCGAGGAGACAGGTCAGCTCTACAGGGCAGGTGTTGGCCGTCTGAACAGGGCTGAATTTTGCCCTTGGACAGGGATGTTTTATGTGCCCTTGTTATCAAGAATATTTATGTTTCAATGAGGGCTGTCTCCTGTGGACTGGAAGAGGCAGTGCAGGATCTGCTGAAAGAGCAGCAGAAGATGGGCTATTATTAGATTGCGTACTCCTTTTATTGTTGTTGTTCAATCATACAGCCCTTCTGCAGGCGTAACTCCTGTTGAAATTAATGGGAGGCTTAACTAAGTAAGGACTTAGAGAACTGACCTGTTTACTCAGCCCCATAGGAGAGCATTAATAAAACTTCGTTGAAAGAAAAAATACAACAGGCTGGACTGACTGTAGTATTATTCCAGATGTTCCAGGTTTATATTGGAATAATACAGAGGTGATTCAGGCCATCTATCTTCTATTTATTGCCCAAATGTGTAAAGGAAAGTTTTATGCTAATCCCAGGAAAAGGAACTGATTGAGTCTGTTTATATTTGAGACTGCTCCTTAGTATAAAAGATCATCTTGAAAGTGCTATTTTCCCCTGTGAGACACAGCACAAGGTATCAGCTCAGTGCAGGAGTGCTGCTGAAAAGAAGTGACAAGGAAGAACAGACATGGTGGGAGCTAAAATTATCCCCTAGCATCTGTGAAGTGTCCAACAAGGTGCACACTGGGTTATTACTGAGAGGGTATCTCATGTAGTCTGTCAGTCCCATCAATGTGACAGGGCAGGCAGCACATCATCTGAACAATGATATACTAATAATACATCCTTCACAAAGGCACCACTTTTCTGACACCACAAGGAATGTCACAGTATCATAGATAATGCAGGGCTGGTCCAGAGGTGAATGCTACATCACCAGGGCAACCAGGTTGGCCGTGACATCCAGGGACTAGATGGCTAGACAATGAGATATTTGTGTAAAGGCTAACAGTTTGTTAAGGTTTGTTTAACTATTCAAGCATTAATTTAGGGAGCAAAGTGGCATTCAGTTGAATATCCATCACCCACAAGGAGCATTCGAAGAACAAAGTGAGAAGCAATGAGCAGGATAGGGGAGCACAGTGGAACCCTGACTTGCGTTAATGATTTCTGGTGTGGTCATAAAATTATCCTGTCTAATAGCAAGAGCAAGGCCATGAAAGGAGCATATAGGTAAATGCCTCAGAGAATGTTAAGGATTATCTTTCATCCCGGGTCTAGTCAGACATGCTTATTCTCTGCTCACACCTCACTTGTGTTTTTCCTTTGTGAACTTATAAGGAAGCAGATCCAAGGGAACTTGAGACATACTGTCACTCAAAGTAGACTACGACATCAAAATCTAATTCTTATCTGTGCCCATATGCAACTTCTACTTCCAGTTGGGTGCATCCTGCGGCACATAACACAGTGACTTACAGGATAATGGAAATTATTTAAAATAAATAAATAAAGCTGTATATCATGAAAACCATCGTGGAGACAGAGAAGAATACCCAGAGTGAAGGGGTGCTGGCAAGTTTGATTAGGCCACAGTATCAGCTGCCTTTTAATTAATCTAAACATTCTCTGCAAAATCCATGTCATTTTTTGGGACAAGATTTTCAAAGATCTCTAAACTGGATGTGAAATTGACCCCTGTGTAATGATCCAGTACAAGGTCCACACACCACCCTAGAGGGCTTAACAGGATTTACCTGGTGCATATGCTTTGTGCTGGCCCTCTGCATTGGGTTAAAACTCATCTGGATGAGCTTCATGCAATATGTACATATGAGTTGTGCCTGTAAAACCCCTCTGGTTGGATAATTGCGCACACAACTCTCTGGTTATGCAAGCGACTGCTTGACTGATTTGTGCCAATACCCAAATGTTCTGTGCTGATCTTCCATTGAAAAAGAGCTTTGAAAATCTGGCCTTTTGTTGTTTGTTTCTTCCCTCCACACCCAAAAGCATTAACCTCCCCTTCTTACCACTCTGCTCTGTTTCACTGAACATAAATGAAGAAAAGTTTTTGTTAAATTTACTTAAATATTTATTAGGCTTCTATCCATAGATATGTAAGTACCTTATGCTGAACTAATGCAAAGGCAGTGTGATCCAGTGATTTTACATAGGCTCCTGGATCTTAGAAACTTGAGTTCCACTCCCCAGTTTGCTACTAACTTGCTGCGTGATCTTAAGAAAGTCACATAAACTTTCTACACCTCAGTTTCCCTTCTGTAGAAGTGTATGCTTCCCAGTTAACACATGAGGATGAATAGGGGTAGCAAAATACAACAACCAGACAGCAGGGGTAGGAGTCCCAAAAAAGAGGCATGCATCATATCCTAAAGGTAGCTGGTGAAGAACTTCAGGAGACCAATCTGTGAGATAGTTCACTTACCCCCCATTATGTCAGCTGGTATGTTATAAACTGCAGATGTCGATGAACAACACAGCAACAGAAAAGTGTTATATTGAGAAAACTGCAGGTGCTTTCACTGGGTGATGTAATCTGTTTAGTAGGCAATTCTACAAATTCCACTTGAAATTCTCTAGACTAGTGAATACTTATATTCACCCCATGGAAAAATTTTGATGACTGTTTATAAATTTGTCAGTAATGTTTACTCTGGAGATGTAGAAATTGCATCTGAAATTTACTTTGATGCATATTGAATTTTATCTACTTTTATTGTATTATGGAATAGTTATTTCTGTTTAATCTATTGGCATCTTTTTGATGTACTGAGATTTTGTATTCGTTTGTTTCCCATCACAGTGAAAAGGAGGTCATTATTTGTCACTATAGGAATAAATGACAAAGGATTACAAAAAAATGCCCTTAGAAATGATTGGTTGCCATAAATATTCACATTTAAGCTGATCCATGTATAAGCCAGCTCCATAAATTGACTATCTAAAAAGTGAGTGCACCACATGAATGCTGATCCCTGCCCCCTTCCTTGATCTGTTTTGATTAGCAAGGAACTGATCTGTTGATCCTTGCCCAGAGAAACTCGTCCCTTGAGTGGGAGAAGATAGGCGCCACTTGTCGTATCCAGGGACCCCATCCTCCAGCTGCAGCTAACACCATTTGTGTGCTATTAGATCTGTAGCAGGCATGTGTGATACAGTGTGCATGCTTCCTAGGCTTATTAGTCCCAAAAGCACATACTCTGTAAGATGCACACTTAGGGTAGCTGCCTCTTTTGCCACCAAGCCGAGGTGCTACTTTAGGGATCTGATGCTAAACCAGCAGCCCCGAGCTTTCCTGCCCTGTTCTACTCCTGGAGAGAGTTCATCTCTTTCCAAAATGTCTCATGTAAAAGCTACCCACCCCTCCAGTCTTCTACAGAAAGATTGCCTTCAAATTGTGTCTTCCTGTCTTAGTTTATAAGTAATGTATATATCACATTTAGCGAGCAGGCTTATTTTACTATTGGTAGTCCACTCAACTTTGGGTGGCTTGTATTTCTGGGAGTTGTTTTTAGGAATCCATCTCTTTGAACCAAAACCACAAATGTATTTCTTGTGTAACAACAAATACAACTCCTATTAAAAAAATAGAATAGTAGTCTACAGTGTTCCCAAATATTATATGTTACAATAGCAGTACTTCAATGTTTGGGGCCTATAGTATTATAGTAGTGAAATAAAGTTAATATGCATGCTCAGATGAACAATTTATTTAATTTTGATAAGCCCTATGTATTCAATATTGCCATGTTCTTTGAGGAACTTTCTCCCTGTTCTGTCTCTCTAAATATATATGTTTCTAAAGTATTTTCCTTGTGTCTTTCCTACCTAGCATCATCCTCTCCTTGTTCATTTTCTGTCCAAAGCAAAACCCTTCAGAGCAAATCTTTGTTGAATTCCTACTACTCAGGTACTAGTGCCAGATTTTATTTTCTTTTTTTCTTTCTTTTTTTTTTTTTTTTTTACATTTCCCGATATGACATATGGACTGAGTCTTCTGAATGTTGGATACGGCTAACCTTGTTTTCATTTTTTTAATTTGTTTTCCTCGTTGATCTTCTGTTGATTTCCATTGATCCGTGTCGTGTGGGTGACCGGAATTCCATCTCAAAGTATCATCAGACACTGTTCCATCGACTGCGCTGCTAGGTAAGAAGACCGGTATGGTGCACTGTTCTCCAGTGGAGGAAAAACATTTATTGCATCTGAAAATGACTCTAAGGGACACTGTCAAGTGGTTTAGGCTCCAATATTACAACCCTCCTTTGGATTGATCACCACTTTGTTATTGCGGAAGCTGAAGCAACTCTAAGGTTAAGTGTAGTCCTACAACCAAAACAGAAATGTGACTTCTCCTTAGAGCTGCTGTTTGCCATTATGCTGGAATAACGTGATGTGGATGCTTAAATAAAAAGTAGGTCCAAATAATTGTATATTTCAGTTCCATTCAAAATGCACACAAAAATTAAAATTAGTGAAATCTTGGAAAGTGGACAAAATTGATCAGGAAAAAAAATTACACTATCTTCCTTATTAAAAGGAGAATAAAAGACAAAATTTGAGAACCTGGGGGGTGTTAGGTGCCTCTTTTATGTGTAGGGTGTGACATGATGGGCCAAATTTCCATCCATTCTCCAATTTTGGAAACCATTTTGGCTCATGTAAGTGATTGTGTCTACACAGCTGACACACACATGCTTTGTATGTGAAGATCAGATCTGAGATCCCCAGCTCATGTGCATAAATGAGTGTTCGCTTATTCAAAATTGGTTGGAGCCTGCCTCTTTGGATGCAATCAGTTATGAGTGCAACAAGTTCCATGCAGAAATCAGGGGCTGAGCTTGGGGAAGGGAGACTTTCATACTAAGTACATTGAGAACTGTAAAAGCCAGGGAAAAATTTCTCCACTTGTAATACATTGCCCTACTCTGTCTGTCATGCACCAAACTCCCATTGATCAAAACTTGATACCATGGTGCTATACATAAACGTGAAGCAAACCAAGATTAATGTCAATGGGAATTTGGTACAAAACAAGTACTGAATATGCAGTAGAAAGTACAGATCACAGAGGAGAATTTTGCCTATATTAAGAGAGTTTTCACTGAGGTAAAGCCAAGGGAAAATGCATAATGGTAATTTTATTTTATGAAAAGAGACTCTATAGGCCAACGTTTTCAAAACTGGATGTTAGATATTACCTTTCAAATCCCTGTTTCAGCACTTGAATAAAAGTGACCTTGTAAATGTCAGAGTAGTTGAGTGCCATGACTCCTTTTGACTTTAATAGAAATCGTCAGTGCTCAGCACCTCTGAAAATCAAGCCACTTTTATTTAGGTGCCTAAATACCAATCTAAGTAGTCTAGCTTCAGGTATCCAACTCTGAAACTTTCATTCTTTGGAGTTTTAAAAAGAATATGCTGCCCCATCAAATTAACAAAGAGACAGCAGAATGGGCAGAAGAAACTTTTAAGCTGGCTAAAGGAGAAAGAGCTATTCAGAAACTTATTACAGGTGTACCCTTGAATACAACAGTAATAATAGCCTACCAGTTTTGGATCTCCCTTGAGGATGCCTGTGCTTACTGTGTGTGGAATTTGAAAAAGGCAATTCCCCTGCTATGAATCAGAAAACAGATATGTGGAAGATCAGAATCTACCCAGTGGTATTTATCAGACCTGTCATTTTGGATTATCTGCAGTAACTTTTCCCTTCCAGACACAGTAATCTACTGCAGCTGTCTTAAACGTTACCCTGAGCAGGTAGCAGCCCAGTAGTTAGACCAGTAAAAAATTACACGCAAGCACATGAGTGCACTGTATTACACGGTAACAGCAAAGGAACAACGAGAGGCTGGAAGAGACTGTCGCAGTACGTAAATTTATCATGCAATCTGTTACAATACTGACTTTGGGAAGAGAAGGTTCTTTTTCCAGGGGGAGAATGTGTCCATTTCCCAGTAGGGTTGTATTTCTTAGTTTCCCAAAGACAAAATGTTGTCTAAGAGAAATCTAAATGTGGATTCATATCACAGCTGTGCTCCCTACACAACGCACGGTCTATTGCTGCAGTATACTGGGAGGTGCTGACCACCCTCAGCTCTGCACTTCGCATCTGTCAGAACAGAGGCCCCTATTTTGCTGGAGCTGTTTTCACACCTGTATTCTGGGTAGTGAGCACAGTGGTCTTGTTAGGACAGCTAAATCACGTGTGAACTGCACACTTCTTAATTTGAGGCTAAAGGGAAGATTATATATGACTTGATCCAGACTTCCTACAGGAAAAAAAACAAAGGCTTTCAAAATCCCAATGTTTAGAGAAAAGCAATAATAATTATTAAGAATCAAATTGTTCTTGTATTTTATATCTTCAACCCACTTTAAAGCTCTTAACTAACTAATGTTTACAGCCCACCTACGTGGTGGGTATGAATTACCATTTCCATTTTACAGATGGGAAACTGAGGCACAAAGGTTAAAGCCATGATTTTCAGAGATGCTGTGCACCCACAGTTCCAGTTGAAGTTAAGAGCCACAGGTAGTCAACCCTTCTGAAAAGAAGGCCTTTAGCAACTTGCTCAAGGCTGCCTGGTGAGTTGCGGACAAAACCAGAATCACAACCCAGGAGTAGTTCTTCAAGTATGTGTCAGTGTGGTATCCCACAGTATGTGTGTATGTGCCCCAGGCAGATGAGACCAGATATTTTTGAATAGCAGTATCAGGCCCATGCATGCACCCTGTGCTACCTCATGCTCCTCTATGAGGGCACAAAGGGTGGAGTGACCACAACCCTCTCACTGTTCCCTCTTACTGCCCATGGCAGCAAGAAGGAAGCTAGTGAGTATTCAGTCTGCTATATGATTGCTTTGGCTAAATTTCCCAAAAGCTTATTCCACTCCTCTGAGATACCTCAGAATTACCTTCGTTCATTTATTCTTCCTATCCAGGTCTGTTCTGATGTTTGTCAAACTAAAAACTGCTTGCAAACCCCTCTGGATAGCTCCCCCTATACAGGTTGTTAGAATGGTGCACTCAAACCCTACAGACTTCAAGCCTTCTCCATCCTGTGATGAGCTAATTGCACTGAAAGAGAGGCACAGCAAATGCCTATTCTTCTTGGGAGAGTCTCACGTCCCAAGCAGTTGCTTGATCTGCCTCTCCTTCTCTGCAAGAACCTGCAACTTGAGGGATGCGACGCTGTACCTCCATCTTCTGAAGCAGTGTGTGCAAATGGCATTGGAGCCAGGAGATTTGACCTCAAAGATGTGTCTAACAATCAAGCCCACACATTGCAGCGTTCCATCTAGCAGGCGGATGACTCTGAAGACTTCTGTAGAGCAAGTGGCACAGAAGCCATCAACACCCTCAAATTTGACATCTCACACGTTGGACCCAGTAGGCTGAAAAGGGCAGCCCTGCTCCTTATAAATGAGTCATCCTAGACCCAGCAAGAACCTCGTGGCAAATGCCAGACACTATTCCAGCAATAGCTACATGTGCCAAAACCTGGTACCAGGAAACACTTCCAGTTTTGATTACTTTGACTCCCAACCCGACCCTGACTCCTCCTTGACTGCTCAGGAGAAGTCAAGACCCACCAAAAACATGCTGAAGGACAAAGATCCCAAATGCTATGATCCGTCTGGAAGAAAGGCATACTCATCAGCCTCGCTCCAATTGAGAGTGGCCAGCTGTCAGGCATTGCTGGCCAAATATGACTTTTTGACATAGGATAGGGTGACATCCTTCTTGGCCAAACACCTTCACAAAAACAGAGGAGCTGAAACACATTATAAAAGAAGACCAGCTCATAGCCATCTACAGGCAGTGATGGAGGCCTCTGACACCGAGGCCAAGTCTGTGACCACTGTAGTGGCCATTTGTAGAGTGTCATGTCTCCAAGCTCCAGGTATCCCTCCTAAAGTATGAGCCAGGATTGAAGACTTGCCCTTCGAGGGGTCAGAGCACTTCAGTGAATGGACTGGTAGGGCCCTACACGCATGGAAATATTCCAAAGCAGCCCAGTGCTTTCTGGGGATCTACTGTCCTCCACCCTATCGAAGGGCATACCACCCTCAGACATTGCATCATGAGAGACCGCACACCACAGGGTACCATGGGCAAATGGAGGTACCTGGCCAGGAAATGCCCTGGGTAAAACAAAAGGCATCGATCCTCCTCCACCTTCTGGGATGACCCATCAGCAAATTTGATGGGATGGCGGACAGCTGTATAGAAACCTTGGGAAGCTGCCTCATGCCATACCACCGGGCATTGTCTGTTATAACATCAGACAGATGGCTTCCCACTGAATGTAATGAAAGGGTTACCCTTCTCAGTCTCTTCCCCAACAATGACACTGGTCACAGACACATCAGGGGCAGGGTGGAGCCACTTGCAAATGCAAAGTTTGTGATCTCAGGACAATCTATAATTACATATGAACATCTCGGTACTGAGAGCCACTAGACTGGCTTGCATGGCATTCCTACCCATCTTTCAAAATGCCACAATGCAGATCCTGATGGTCAGCATGTCAGCAAAGCACTATATAGACAAGCAGGGAAGCACTCAATCATTTCCTCTCTACCTGGAGGCAATCGATTTCTGGGAATGGCGCCATCAGCATTGAGTCATTCCACTAACTCTGCACCTACCAGCGGTCAGCAATTACCCGATAGACTTCCTAAATAGGAATGTGATAGCCAGCCGCAAGTGGTCACTATGGAAATCCATTCTAGAACCGATATTCTGCTGGTGGGGAACTCCCACCGTAGACCTTTTCGCCAGGCTGGACAATGCCAGTGCAAGGACTTCTGTTCCAGGGAAGGTGTGAGCCTCAGCTCCCGTCTGGACACCTTTGTGCTTTGTTGGTCTTGAGGACTACTCTGTGCCTTCTAAGCAATCCCCCTGATCCCCAGGATCATATCCAATATCAGACAGAACAAAGCTGTAGTCATTACGATAGCAGAGGCAATTTTGGCTGTTGGATCTCCTACAGGTATCCAGCCAGCTCTCCATATGCCTTCCCACCTATCCAGACATGATCTCACAAAACCAGGGTCAAATATTGCACCAGGACCCTCAGTTGTTACATCTGACAGCCTGGATATTTACTATGAGCAAGCCCAACAGAGATTGACCCCTAC